GCTTTTCAATGGTTAATTCTAAATCTTCAGAAAAGAATGAAAACTGAAAACTTGGAGTTATAGATAGGATGACTCGTGACCCAGGGTCCCAGGCTGGACCACATCTCCCATGATGCACTGTGGTATTCCTGTTTTGCTGAAGCACTTCCCAGCATGATGGGAGATATGGTTCTGGTGGAGAACTTGGAACATAGAAGAACTTCATTTCCCAGTAAGCAATGCAGCAGCATTTCTGAATAGATTTTTTTTTTTAAACTTCTGGACCAAAACTGAAAACTTTTTGGTTCTCTAGTGTACGATTTCTCAATGAACCGTTGAAATTTTCCATGGAGAGCAGACCCTTTCCACATGCAGTTTTTTATTTAGTCAAAAATCCAATTTTCCATAAAAAAACAGAACATTTTCAACCAGCCCTAACTATATAACCTATCCTGGTAAACGTCAGGGGACTGAGCCACATTTCACTGGTGCTGACTTCACACTGGTGTCACTCCATGAGCTTCAAGTGGGAGGAGCACCGCATGTGTTTAGAGGACACCAATGGGTGTCTGAGTAGAGGAGAGCATTTGCCAACCCATATCAAAATCCAGAATTGGGCCTAAAAAGGATTCGAGTTGCTTAGATACAGGGCTTCATTTAGGAGCCGCTCTGTCCCCAGTGAAGTCAATAGCATCCCACCGACGTCACAGCTAAAATAACAATTCCTCATGCAGTGGGGCTGACAGAATTGCTGAGCCTCTGGCCAACGTAAGGGGGGACGATTCCATGCTCCCAGAAGGGGCGTGGCCTCTGGCAGAAGGGGTGGTGCTGGGAGCAGCCAACCCCTATTGCTGCCTGGAGCGAGCCATGCTCTGCCCCCGCCAGCCCTCGGCATCGCCTTGAGTGCTCCACTGGCAATTTAAAGGGCCCAGGTTCTGCCCACAGCAGCTGCAGCAGTAGCAGAAGAAGCAGCCGGGAATCCCAGACCCTTTTGAATCACTGGGCTCTGGGTCAACTGCTCCTTTTGACACCCCCTCTCCCCCACATGTGGCCCTGCTCTCGAGTTATTTGCGGAACCCCATTGGCCCAGACCCTTTTAGGTTAAATATCAGGGACGCTTGTGACTCTAGGGAGTAATGTGTCTAACCCAGCTGCCACCAGCCACCTCGTTGAACGTCTCCCTCTCCCTGCAGAAAAGGCGACTGGGAGGAAAATATCAAGGGGAGTCTTCAGGATCTGCTTAATTCTTAATTCTCGGTGCTTTCTGAGGCTGCCTCCTTCCCCGAGCAGTCCCCTTTCATTCTGGCTTTCATAGCTGCCCTTGTTACTGTTGTTAGTACAACCCCCCTCCCCTTCCTTTTCCACATCGCACTTCTGTAACTGTTTTTGTTCTTTGTTCTAGTTCACTGTCCCTTTGAGGCTCCCTCTGATGTCTAGGCAGTGGTGTGTTTTTGATAATTCCTCCTTCACGTGGGCATCTTCTCTCCCGGCATCAAAAATCAGGGCAATGGTTATTTGAAGGGGACGCTCATTAGAATAATGTATAATTTGCCCTGCCCCCCTTTGGGACTGAGAAGTGGGGGCATCTGAGTCAATACATGACCCACATTTAAACAAAGACGCAGACGACGCAGACTCGCGCTTTCCAAACGGCAAGACAAAATCGCAGCCTGGCTACGGACAGGGAGCTTGGGCTGCTGGGCGCACAACAGAGAGAAAGGGCTTGTGTTGTGAGGTGCTTGTCCTTCGGCTCCAGTTGATGACACAGTCTTGTGCCCTCTGCCGTCTCAGTCTCAACGACATCAGTGGGAGCAGAACCAGGCCCTGGGGTGGTTCGAGGCTGCACAGAATAGGTGCGGAGCTTGTGCATAGTGGTGCTGGAACAATTTTCAAAGTGGGGTTCTGAGCTGTACCCCGTTCGTGCCCCTCATCGCCTCAGGCAAGGGGCCACATCTGGTGGTGGCTGGGGAGCCGCGGGCCATGGCCTGGAGCAGAGCTAAATGCCTGGCGGCCAGGATCTGGTACTGGTGGCGGAGACCTCAGGACCAGTGGCCAGGACCTTGGGTGGCAGCAGAAGGGCTGGTGGCTGAGACCTTGAACAGCAGCGTGGTGCAAAGTCTGGGGGTGCTGTAGCCCCCCCCCAGCCTTCCTTCCCATGCTTCTTGTGTGCACCAGGAAAGGACTTGCCGGACTGTCAAGATGCTTAGATATGGAACTGGTGATCTGCAAACTCCTTTACAGACATTAAACAGAAGGATGCATATAGCACCATCGAAGGCGGGTAGCATCATGGAATATGATGGAAAGTGGTACCTGGGAATATTAAAATGTTTTAGCCAAAATGACACATGGTCCATGACCTAACTAGAACTAGAACCCAGGAATCCTGACTGCTTTGAACATCTCCCTACAGCACAAGACGCTAAGAGCTGTTGGGTAAAGAAAACATTTGAAATGGGACGGTGGTAAAAAGGAGCTAAAAAAGAAGGGAAAAAGCTGCTT